ACGGCACCATTGTTGATCGGAGGTCTGCCACATGACATGCCTGCGTCAAAACACCAAAGCTGTCAAAACTACGACCAACTTTCATTCGAAATGCGAGCTATAGGCGCATAATTTCATCAAAATTATATATGAATATACGTTTCGTTTGCCATCATACATTACTTCTCATGCGCGATACTAGCGCCGACCAACGGCGAAGAAAAATTCATCTGCGTGAGGAATCAGGATGTTCAGAAGATCGGGTTCGCTGCTATTACTTAGGCGAGGTTACAGATTCTAGATTTTTCACAGAAAATACACCTGAACCGTTCCTCTCTTTTTTAAATAAGGAGTCTCCACAAAATATTCATTAGTTTAGCAGATAGTGGGCATGCGCACAGCTACGTCTGGCCCTATAATCTGTCACATGTTTTAAGAAGGTTTGGAAGATATATCGCCTTCTAATTCTTAAAGTGAGTCAATGTGGCCAACCTTTTTCTTATCTAACTACTCCCGAGTATGTATGTATGTGCTCACTACATGTGTAAACCTCAACACAATTATATATGAATAGATGTTTAGTATCGCACACTACTTCTCATGTGCGATACTAGCGCCGACCAATGGTAAACAAAAATCTAAATTGGGAATAAGAATGTTGAAAAGATTGGGCTCGCTGCTATTACTTAGGGGAGACAAGAGATTTAAGATTTTTCACAGAAACCTATACGAGAATTCTTCCTCTTCTTTTTAAATGTATAATTACAACGAAATGTGATTGATTTTACAAATGAGCGCACAGAGACGTCTGACCCTATAATCTATCACATGTTTTAAGAAGAATCGGAAGACAGTTATCAGTTGTTACTAGACAGAAGCAGCCAGTCAGACGGATGGAAGGATGCACGGAGGCAGGTCTAGCTGGATGAACGGACATAGGAGTAGGAGTAGAACAGTAGTAGCAGCGGCGCAAGTAGTCAGGTGGCAAAGGTAAAGCAATTGTGGTAACAGTAGCAGTAGCAGCTAGTGGTAGCAGTAGCAGTAGCAGCTAGTGGTAGCAGTAGCAGTAGCAGCTAGTGGTAGCAGTAGCAGTAGCAGCTAGTGGTAGCAGTAGCTGTTTATATCAATCAACATCATTTACAAGAATATTTCAGTAAATTTTAAGCTGCCGAGTTGGCTGCTTGCCGCTTAATGATATTGCCGCCATGGCAAGCTATATGGCTTTCCATCCTAACCTTTCCAGCACGACTCATACTTCAACTCTAGCTTTTGCCCACAGCATAATTCCTTTCCGTACGTAAAACAGCTTACGTGTGCACATTCCGCGAAGGTGCGTCCAATGTCCGTCTTGCTGGCACGTTGTAGACATATGCTGAACGGCACGATAGCCCGGCAGGCAGGTAAATGTTACCTTCTCACCTGTCATGTAGCCGTCTGGGCTGAGCGTGCGTGTATACAGCGGTTGCTTCGGCGGCCCACAGTCAGAAACTATAGAGAAAGATTTACACTCATCATTATATTATTATTATTAGCCTACAGAATGTCGATAACTGCGTAGCGTAGCTCAAGTTGCCCAAAAGATCATCGTTTCATGAGCGTAAATACTATCTGTCTAATCGATCTAATATAATCGTAAATATAATCGCAACATGTCGTAATCGAAACATAAATATAATCAGGAGTAGATAAAGATGTCTTTATCTACTCCTGATATAATCTACGACCGGATGGTAAAACTGTGCTATTGCACGACGTTGTTGTAGTTTGCAATGAGACAACTAACGGATGCACATGGGAGCCGGGTCAGACCAATCTCCAGTGTCCCGACAGAGTCGTGTTGCTGCGCCCGATAGACGATAACCATCGTCGCACGTATATGTCGCGGTAGATCCAACCATGTTGTCACCGCTAACCTGTAACACCAGGGGGCGCGTTGTCAGAAGCGTATTAAGACGTTGCGACATCGTGAGTCTAAACTGTATGTCGTACCCTTTGAAGTGAAATCTTGTGAAAACGTTATGAGATTTTAGACTTATGATACTCATAACTATTTATGTTTCAGTATTATGTTCACTAATGAGACAACGTTGAATTTTTTAGTGCTGTAACAAATTATTAATTAACTATAGTCACGAAATGGAAAATACCCTTCAACTCTTCAAACCACCAATGACTTAACAGTTATGTACTCGTGTGTAATAGATATTTACTCAAAGTTTACAATTCGTGCGTTTATCGGCCGTCCTATATAACATATACTTTATATATAGCGCCATCTGTGTATCAAACGCGTATTACATCGCGTTGACTAGTACACCACTCCTTCACTGCGACCAAAACTACATCCACCAAACGAGCACTTGTGAAAAATTCTCCGATCTGTCATGAGGGAATTATCGACAAGGTAGCTCTACTGGTGGAGCGAAGGGGCTACACCGGTAGAGCTATCGATAAGGTAGGGGCTGCGGGAGGGTGGAGTGGTGGACGTTTACCTGGCCGTGTGTCGGTGGCTGCTGGTGACTACATGTCACCAGGTCGCACACCGGTGCTGGGTGGTCCCAACTACCGGCACTAGCATCCAGCGCATTCGTGTCACACGTCAAGATGGACGCTCCCGTCATCTCATATCTGTAGTGGCAGTAATGTATACTATATGCAGATGCGACACCGCGCGATTCGAAAGAGGAATCGCCAGACTCTAACCATGATTTTTTTAAATTTTTTGCGCGGCTGTCTCGCGAAACCAACATTTATTACTAGCCAAATGAAATTTTTAAATTAAAATTTCAATTCAACGTTTTTTAAATTAAATTGCGAATATAGATAGATTTTCACTGTCTATATACTATTCTGAGAACTACGTTGGGCTGCGTACTAACCCGGGTTGGCAGGAATACTGAGCCTTGTCGCCGTGGTTGTACCCTGTCACCCTCCGCGCCGCGTGGCTGACCCCGGCAGGCGTCGGGCAGCTCAGGCGCTCGCAGGTAGGTGCAGGTGTCTCTGATGTGCCATCCCGCTGACCTAGGGCCATCCATTCACCTTCCGCTGAGCAGAATAGCTATAACGGAATAATCAGATAGTGACAAGATGAGAGGTGCGATACTAATGTAATTTTTAATTTGTATATAATTAGGCTTATATTATTTATTTATTTATTTATTTATTTATTTATCGATTCCGGATTAATGTTTTCAATGTCATAGGGTTGTTGTGCTGCATCTAACCTTCGAGTAATCATTCTGATGATTACTCCAATGATCAGAATGATTACTCCAAGATCCAACGTACGAGTGCTTGGTGTGTTATACACTACGGTGCTGCGTTGATGTTAATGAACACTCCGCCAGCGTGAAGGTCCCCCGCGTAGTCCAGTATAAGTATATATTATTTGAACTTACCTTTCTGTTTGAGCTCATCGTAAAACCCTGATCGCACGCATACGTCACTTCATCGCCGTAGTGCGTAGACGTCCATTCCGCGTGCGCATGCGCGACGAGTGGCGGGCTCGCGCAGTCGACAGGCATGCAGTCGACAGCCTCGATCCCAATCCACGTTCCATCTCCGCCGCATCGCACTTCCCACTCTCTCCCGCCGACGCCTCCGTAACCCTCCACGCACTCGTACGACACTCGAGCGCCGACCGTGAATGCGGTGTCAGCGGTGTAGCCTCTGTGGGTGCTATTAGCAAGGCTCGGCGGCACAGCGCACTGGATGAGATCGCAAGATGGCGGCGTCCCGATCCAATCTCCGCTCACTCCGCAGACGACAGGTACATCCCGCCGCAGTTCGTAGTCGGCGTCGCACGTGTAGTACACTTCGGCGCTGATGGGGAACCGTCGCGATTTACCGATCGCCTTGCCGTGTTTTATTTCCGGTGGATTTCTGCATTCTGACGTCACACATCGTGGCACGTCACCTTCCAGCCGTCAATGCCGCATGCGAGAACGGCGTCCCCAAACGAGCGTGGTCGTAGGTTGACACTTATACTGGCTGTGTCATCGAACAACGTATATACCGCTGGGTCTGGTGATGCGTGACGATTCCCTTGCCAACTCATCCTCCAATGTAGTACCCAGAGCTGACCGGCAGGTGGCGGTCCGCATTGGCACGATGAGCGCAGAACCAAGCCTCTCCCATACCACTTCGCCATCGGAGTCACAGTAACAACGAACCGTCGCCGTCGTGACTTCGTATCCGCTCTCTGCCATTCCAGCGTCGATGATGCTGCCGTAACTGGACGTAATTTCGCTCACAATTTCTCCATCCTCTTCGCGGTGTAGTTGGCTGTCACAGTCCACCAGCCTCGCATGGTGGAGGCGTTTCCGTGTCCACACATCCGTCCGCCCATGCAACGCAATTCCGCGCTGCCTCAGGTTTTAGCAATGTTCACATCCAAAACCAACTTACTTCGTCAGGTCGGTAGGCCACCATCAGCTGTTGAGACGAAAGTGGGTAAATAGGCCGTTGTATCCGCTCAAGCTGGCAGGCAACGAGTTGCCTCGGCACCTCTGGCTCAGGTGCTCCCACTCTCCGTCGTCCATGCATTTAGTTTTCAGTTACCCCGACCATCGATGAAAACCGTTTCTCGCAGCTTTAGCCGTCACTATCGCCGCTGGGAAGTAAGCTCCGTCCATGTTGATCTTACCATTGCATCGGTGCTAGTGGCTGCCTCACAGGGCGTCATGTCCTTCACGCACATCTGGCGTTATCTCCCGTCCATTCACCTGCAGACGCCTGCCAAACACGTGTTGCCGGTCCCTGTAGCGTATATCCAGCCTTTTGCACTGTGTACGAAAAACAGATGTCTTCCGAAGCCGTAGGTAAATCATCAATGTAGCCATAAACTGGCCGCAGTGGCCTTTCGGACATTCAACTTTCTCACATCGCGGGTTGGACGGCGGTCCCTTCTTCAGTCGGTAGACACGTTGCGAATTCTACTTCGCTGAGAGGACTGCAGTGAAATAATAACGGCGGTCACTAAAAATCAAGACTTTATATTACGTTGTAGGTTTGCACCCGCCAAAGAATGATCGTAGTGCCATAAAGAGAAATAATCACCTTCTGATTTATGATATATATATATATATATATATAATATATATTTATATATTATTGTTGCTTCGTCGTGAATGTACGTAACTAAGACGCCATTAACAAAAAGCCAGTAACGAGAACCGTAAACTCCGCCAACGACCACTAATATAACATGAATGTATGTATATATATATATATATATTATATATTTATATATCATAATATATATAAATATCAGGAGCTATATCAATAGACTCCTGACAATTGATAGGGACTCAATTGCATAGAAATTGATAGACTCCTGTAATAATATAATAAGCCCTACGAGTTACTGCAGTTACGTACATATAGCTGCCCATCGCATATATATTTGATGGATGGCTCCGACTGAGTAGTCATGGCCAATCATCCTTCCATGGCAACCGGCCTCAGCGGTTTGGTGTATTGATTCTGACGTCACACATCGTGGCCTCACCTTTCCAGCCGTCAACCTGCATGAGAACCGCGTCCCCGAACGAGCGTGTATCAGGGTCTGCACTTTATGCGTTGTGTCATACGCACACGCTATCACCGCGGGTCTGTGTATGCCTGACGATTTCTTGCACTCATCTCCATGTAGTATAGCCCAGCTGACGGCAGTGGCGGGCCGCATTGCACGATGACGCAGAATCCAAGCTCTCCCATCCACTCGCCATCGGAGTCACAGAACAACGAACCGTCGCCGTCCGTGACTTCGTATTCCTTCTCTACATTCCAGCGCTGGTGATGCTGCCGTAAACTGGACGATTCGCCCACAATTTCTCCATCCTCTTCGCCGGTTGTAGTTGGCTGTCCACAGTCCACCAGCTCGCATGTCGGAGGCGTTCCTGTCCACACATCGTCGCCCATACAACCAATTCCGCGCTGCCTATCAGGTTGTAGCCAAGTTCACATCCAAAACCAACTACTCGTCAGGTCGGTAAGCCACCATCAGTGTGAGACGAGTGGTAAAATGGCCGTTTAGCGTATCGCTCAAGGTGGCAGGACACGAGTTTTCTCGCCACCTGGGCTCAGGGTGCTCCCACTCTCCGTCGTCCATGCATGCATGTTTTCAGTTACCCCGACCAAGAGAAAACCCGTTCTCGCAGCTGTAGGTCACTACGCCCTGGGAAGTAAGCTCGTCCTATGTTGCATTTACCTTGATCGGTGCTAGTGCTGCTTCACAGGGCGTCATGTCCTTCACTGCACACTGGTTATCTCCGTCCATTCACCTGAGACGCCTGCAAACACGTGTTGTCCGGTCCCTGTAGCGTATATCCAGCTTTGCACCTGTAGAAACAGTGTCTTCGAAGCCGTAGTAAATCCATCAATGTAGCCATAAACTGGCCGCAGTGGTTTTGGACATTCAATTTTCTCACATCGCGGTAACGGCAGGTCCCATTCTTCAGTCGTAGACACGTGCGAATTTTACTTCCTGAGAGACTGCAGGTGAAATAAAACGGGTCACTAAAATCAAGACTTAATATTACGTTGTAGTTTGCGCGCAAAGAGTGATCGTAGTGCATAAAGAAAAAATATCACCTTCTGATTTATTGATAATATATATACTATATATATATTATATATATATAATATATATTTGTGCTCGTGTGAATGTACGTAACTAAGACGCCATTCAACAAAAAGCAGTAACGAGAACCGTAAACTCCGCGCAACGACACTAATATAACTATGAATGTATGTATATATATATATATATATATATAATATATATAATATCAGGAGCCTATCAACAGACTCCTGACAATTGATAGACTCAATTGATAGACAATTGATAGACTCAATTGATAGACAATTGATAGACTCCTGATAATATATATGAGCTACGAGTTACTGCAGTTACGTACATATAGCCTGCATCGCATATATATTTGATGGTGGCTCCGACGGAGTAGTCATGGCCAATCATCCTTCCATTGCAACGGTCAGGGTTGTGATATTGCATTCTGACCGTCACACATCGTGGCACGTCACCCTTCCCACCGTCAACGCGCATGTGAGAACCGCGTCCACGAGCGTCGTAATCAGCGGTCGCACTTATACTGGGCTGTGTCATCGAACACGTATACCGCGGGGTCTGTGATGCCGTGACGATTTCTTGCACTCAGCTCCATGTAGTACCCAGAGCTGACGGCAGGTGGCGGGCCGCATTGCACGATGACGCAGAATCCAAGCTCTCCCATCCACTCGCCATCGGAGTCACAGAACAACGAACCGTCGCCGTCCGTGACTTCGTATCCCTCTCTGCATTCCAGCGCGATGATGCTGCCGTAACTGGACGATTCGCCCACAATTTCTCCATCCTCTTCGCCGGTTGTAGTTGGCTGTCCACAGTCCACCAGCTCGCATGTCGGAGGCGTTCCTGTCCACACATCGTCGCCCATGCAACGCAATTCCGCGCTGCCTATCAGGTTGTAGCCAAGTTCACATCCAAAACCAACTACTTCGTCAGGTCGGTAGGCACCATCAGTGTGAGACGAGTGGGTAAAATGGCCGTTAGGTATTCCTCAAGTGGCAGGCAACGAGTTTCCTCGCACCTGGGCCTCAGGGTGCTCCCACTCTCTCCGTCGTCCATGCATGTGTTTTCAGTTACCCGACCAAGAGAAAACCGTTCTCGCAGCTGTAGGTCACTACGCCGCTGCGGAAGTAAGCTCGTCATGTTGATTTACCATTGATCGGTGCTAGTTGCTGCTCACAGGGCGTCATGTCCTTCACGCACACTGGGTTATCTCCGCTCCATTCACCTGAGACGCTGCAAAACACGTGTTGCCGGTCCCTGTAGCGTATATCCAGCTTTGCACCTGTAGGAAACAGTGTCTTCGAAGCCGTAGGTAAATCCATCAATGTAGCCATAAACTGGCCGCAGTGGTTTCGGACATTCAACTTTCTCACATCGCGGTAACGGCAGGTCCCATTCTTCAGTCGGTAGACACGTGCGAATTCTACTTCCTGAGAGACTGCAGTGAAATAAAACGGGGTCACTAAAATCAAGACTTTATATTACGTTGTAGTTTGCACGCAAAGAATGATCGTAGTGCCATAAAGAAAAATATCACCTTCTGATTTATGATATATATATATATATATTTGTGCTCGTGTGAATGTACGTAACTAAGACGCCATTCAACAAAAAGCAGTAACGAGAACCGTAAACTCCGCAACGACACTAATATAACTATGAATGTATGTATATATATATATATATATATATATATATATATAATATATATAATATCAGGAGTCTATCAATAGACTCCTGACAATTGATAGACTCAATTGATAGACAATTGATAGACTTCCTGATAATATATATATAGCTACGAGTTACTGGCAGTTACGTACATATATAGCCTGCATCGCATATATATTTGATGGTGGCTCCGACGGAGTAGTCATGGCCAATCATCCTTCCATTGGCAACGGTCAGGGTTGGTGTATTGCATTCTGACGTCACACATCGTGGCACGTCACCTTCCCAGCCGTCAACGCCGCATGTGAGAACCGCGTCCCCGACGAGCGTCGTATCAGGGTCGCACTTGTAGTGGGTTGTGTCATCGAACACGTATACCGCGGGGTCTGTGATGCCGTGACGATTCCTTGCACTCATCTCCATGTAGTACCCAGAGCTGACGGCAGGTGGCGCGGCGCGCATTGCACGATGACGCAGATCCAAGCTCTCCCATCCACTCGCCATCGAGTCACAAGAAAACGAACCGTCCGCCGTCCGTGACTTCGTATCCCTCTCTGCATTCCAGCGTGGTGATGCTGCCGTAACTGGACGATTCGCCCACAATTTCTCCATCCTCTTCGCCGGTTGTAGTTGGCTGCCACAGTCCACCAGCTCGCATGTCGGAGGCGTTCCTGTCCACACATCGTCGCCCATACAACGCAATTCCGCGCTGCCTATCAGGTTGTAGCCAAGTTCACATCCAAAACCAACTACTTCGTCAGGTCGGTAGGCACCATCAGTGTGAGACGAGTGGGTAAAATGGCCGTTAGGTATCCGCTCAAGTGGCAGGCAACGAGTTTCCTCGCACCTGGGCTCAGGGTGCTCCCACTCTCCGTCGTCCATGCATGTGTTTTCAGTTACCCCGACCAAGAGAAAACCGTTCTCGCAGCTGTAGGTCACTACGCCGCTGGGAAGTAAGCTCGTCCATGTTGATTTACCATTGATCGGTGCTAGTGGCTGCTCACAGGCGCGTCATGTCCTTCACGCCACACTTGGTGTTATCTCCCGTCCATTCACCTGAGACCGCTTGCAAACACGTGTTGGGCCGGTCCCTGTAGCGTATATCCAGCTTTGCACCTGTAGGAAAACAGTGTCTTCGAGAGCCGTACGGTAAATCCAGTCAATGTAAGCCATAAAACTGGCCGCAAGTGGTTTTTGGAGATTCAATCTTTCTCACATCGCGGTAACGCAGATCCCATTCTTCAGTCGGTAAGACACGTGCGAATTTTACTTCCTGAGAGACTGCCAGTTGAAATAAAACGGGGTCACTAAATCAGACTTTATATTACGTTGTAGTTTGCACGCAAAGAAGTGATCGTAGTGCCATAAAGAAAAATATCACCTTCTGATTTATGAATATATAATATATATATGATATATATATATATATATATAATTTTGTGCTCGTGTGAATGTACGTAACTAGACGCCATTCAACAAAAAAGCAGCTAACGAGAACACGTAAACTCCGCAACGACACTTAATATAACTTATGAATGTATGTATATATACTATATATATATATATATATATAATATCAGGAGTCTATCAATAGACTCCTGACAATTGATAGACTCAATTGATAGACAATTGATAGACTCCTGATAATATATATAAGCTACGAGTTACTGCAGTTACGCCTACATATAGCCTGCCATCGCATATATATTTGATGTGATGGCTCCGACTGAGTAGTCATGGCCAATCATCCTTCCATTGGCAACGGTTAGGGTTGGTGTATTGCATTCTGACGTCACACATCGTGGCACGTCACCTTCCCAGCCGTCAACGCCGCAGTGATGAGACCGCGTTCCCCGACGAGCGCCGTATCAGGGTTGCCACTTGTAGTGGGTTGTGTCATCGAACACGTTATACCGCGGCGGTTGTGATGCCGTGACGATTCCTTGCACTCATCTCCATGTAGTACCCAGAGCTGACGGCAGGTGGCGGGCCGCATTGCACGATGACGCAGAATCCAAGCTCTCCCATCACTCGCATCGGAGTCACAGAACAACGAACCGTCGCCGTCCCTGACTTCGTATCCCTCTCTGCATTCCAGCGTGCAGTGATGCTGCCGTAACTGGACGATTCGGCCCACAATTTCTCCATCCTCTTTGCCGTGTCGTGGTTGGCTGTCCACAGTCCACCAGCTCGCATGTCGGAGCGTTCCTGTCCACACCATCGTCGCCCATTACAACGCAATTCCGCGCGCCTATCAGGGTAGCCAAGTTCACATCCAAAACCAACTACTTCGTCAGGTCGGTAAGCACCATCAGCTGTGAGACGAGTGGGTAAAATGGCGCCGTTAGGTAATTCGCTCAAGTGGCAGGGCACCGAGTTTCTCGCACCTGGCTCAGGGTGCTGCCACTCTCCGTTGTCCAAACATGTTGTCGTTGCTTGACCAACAAGAATAAGATCATCCTCACAGCTATATGTGGCAGTGCTTCCTGGTGCAATTTCTCCTCCAATTCTTGACCATCTAACACTGCCACCTGTCGGTGCACTTGGTCTGCTGCAAACAACTTCTGTTCCTCTACATTCTGGGGTTGCATGCTCCCACTCCCCGTTGTCCAAACATGAGATTGTTGCTTGACCAACAAGAGTAAGACCATCCTCACAACTATATGTGGCAGTGCTTCCTGGTGCAATTTCTCCTCCAATTCTTGACCATCTAACACTGCCACCTGTCGGTGCACTTGGTCTACTGCAGACAACCTCTGTTCCTCTACATTCTGGGGTTGCATGCTCCCACTCTCCCTTGTCCAAACATGTGATCGTTGCTTGACCAACAAGAGTAAGACCATCCTCACAGCTATATGTGGCAGTGCTTCCTGGTGCAATTTCTCCTCCAATTCTTGACCATCTAACACTGCCACCTGTCGGTGCACTTGGTCTGCTGCAAACAACTTCTGTTTCTCTACATTCTGGAGTTGCATGCTCCCACTCTCCGTTGTTCATACATGTGATCGTTGCTTGACCAACAAGAGTAAGACCATCCTCACAGCTATATGTGGCAGTGCTTCCTGGTGCAATTTCTCCTCCAATTCTTGACCATCTAACACTGCCACCTGTCGGTGCACTTGGTCTGCTGCAAATAACTTCTGTTCCTCTACATTCTGGGGTTGCATGCTCCCACTCCCCGTTGTCCATACAGGTGGTCTCTGCTTGACCAACAAGAGTGAGACCATCTTCACAACTATATGTGGCAGTGCTTCCTGGTGCAATTTCTCCTCCAATTCTTGACCATCTAACAGTGCCACCTGTCGGTGCACTTGGTCTACTACAAACAACTTCTGTTCCTCTACATTCTGGAGTTGCATGCTCCCACTCTCCGTTGTCCAAACATGTGATAGTTGCTTGACCAACAAGGGTAAGACCATCCCCACAGCTATATGTGGCAGTGCTTCCTGGTGCAATTTCGCCCCCAATTCTTGACCATCTAACACTGCCACCTGTCGGTGCTCTTGGTCTACTGCAAACAACTTCTGTTCCTCTACATTCTGGGGTTGCATGCTCCCATTCTCCGTTGTCCATACATGTTATCGTTGCTTGACCAACGAGTGTGTAACCTTCAGCACAACTGTATTTGGCAACATTTCCGCTCCAGTCTACGTGGCTATTTGCCGAGACACTGGGACGACCACAAGTGATTCGACATTCAGGCACGCTAGAGCTCCATGTCCCATCTGCCTGGCACTCACTCGACGCATCCCCAACCAGCAAGAACCCTTCGCTGCAGACGAAATACACAGTGACGCCCGCGTACAACGCATCGCTCGTCTTTGTTACCTGGCCGTTAATCAGCGTCAGGTGTTCGCACTCCGAAACACATTCGGGAGTATCGTCCAGCAGCCATCCTCTCTCACGAGAACAAGATGCTTGTCGCGAACCACTTCGCATGAAGAAGCCTTCATTGCAGTAATACTCCGCAAAGATGGTCTGGCTTTCCATACGCGCAGAACTAGCTGTTACCGGCTCCTCTTCTTCAACTACAACTGTAGGCCGCGGGCTTTTTCTTCCCTTGACCTTCTTGCCGCCCTTTACACCTTTTCTTCCCTTGAATTGTCGCTTCCATCTGGCTGCTCTTCTGAATCGCGTGCGGCCTAGCGCGATCTGTCTTTTACGTCTGAGTGTTTCAGCATCATCGGTGGTTGATATGTACGTAAATACCGCGTTTGCTATAGATGGCGGTGTCTCGCTGAAGCAGTTGAAACTTCCA